GTCCCGAGTATAGCCCAGGAAGGGCTCCTGATCCCCCGTTCATCCCAGGGAGGGCTCCTGTTCCCAAGTTAAGCCCAGGGAGGGCTCCTGTTTCCCCGTTAAGCCCAGGGAGGGCTCCTGATTCCCCGTTAAGCCCAGGGAGGACTCCTGACCCCCAGTTAAGCCCAGGGAGGGCTCCTGACTCCCCGGTAAGCCCAGGGAGGGCTCCTGACTCCCCGTTAAGCCCAGGGAGGGCTCCAGCCCCAGAGCTCGCTCCAGTGTCGGCTCCAGCCCCAGAGCTCGCTCCAGTGTCGGCTCCAGCCCCAGAGCTTGGAGGCTGCTCCGCCATGGCCTCCCGAGGTCCCTGATCCGCCATGGCCTCCCGAGTCCCCTGCTCCGCCATGGCCTACCGAGTCCCCTGCTCCGCCATGGCCTCCCAAGTCCCCTGATCCGCCATGGTGCCCTGAACGGGTGCTGCTCTGGAGGCCCACTGTCCCGTGTCTGTCTTGAGGGACCTCCAGAGTGCCCCCCCCCCTCCTTCCAGAGGGGGGCGTTCTCTCAGACTTTGTTCCGTGTTTTGTGTGTCTTGCTCCCCATGTGCCTTCCTATGCCCATATTTGGTTGGTTTCCGGTTCCTGTCCTCGTCATGTGATTTTCGTCTCCTGTTGTATGTGATTAATTAAGTTCATTTGTCCCAGGTGTTTCCCATGATGTTTCATTGCTCCCAGGTGTGTCTCATCATCCCCTCCTCGTGTGTGTATAAATAGTGTTCCCTGTGTGTGCTCCAGCGTCCGGTATTGAATGTGAATGTTTATGTCTACTCCTCGTGCTACGTGTGATTCCCCGTGAAGATTAATAAATTCCTTGGTTGTTGTACTCTTGGTCTCCTCGTTCCTTGCTCCGTGTTCCCGCACCGTAGCAGATCGTGACAATAACATACAGGGATTTTTTTTGCTTTCTTAACTTGAATTATATGGGCATTCCAACTGCAGTCTAGTAGGCTTCATCATGCAGTGAATGCTTTTGGACTTTCAAAACGCATTTTTGTTTGTTTTTTACTCAATTTCACCTCACATAACGTTAACACAATAATTTCAATATCATCGCAGACAATAAATATCACACACCCCTAGTATCTGCTTTTTTTAGACTTGCATTTAATGAACCACCAAGGGCCATGAGTTCAGCTAAAAATATGCGATGGCCGGAGTGTGAGTAAATTAACTGCAAACTATCTTTTTTTTAGGTAAACTATTCCTTTAACATTTCTGTTCAACTCTATTGCTGTAGTTCCACTGGTAGTTGACATTAAGGTCATGATTCCCAGGTTCGATTCCCATAGAACACAAAAACATGCCAAATGAATGAATACAATTATAATAGTCTGTTTTCTATAAACACCGAGCGTAGAAAAGGCCCAATTGTTAAGATATTTCTGTCAGTGTGAGGCATGTCTGGATCGTGCTGTGTGTTCAAGAGAGTGGGTGCTTCCTTGAAGGCTTTCTAATGACCTTCTTGTCCTCTGAATGTGGGTCCTCATTACTGGCGAGGCATCCATGATGTAAGGGAAACAGGTCAATTTAGCTCAAAGGGAATCATTTAAGATTTTAAAGGGAATTTGGACAGAATCACTGTTTTACGGCTGATCACTGAGACGGCCAGCGATTCATTGAACGAGCCGTATAACATCAACTCTGCAATGGATATTAATATCCAAAATATAGTGAAAACACTATTAATTAGCACAGTAACAAGGAGAGAGAGAGACTGGGACTCGTGGCGATTCCGTAGCCGGAGGAGGAAAAGCTGATTGAACTGAGTTTATGCCTTGGCAGAGTGAGCACACGCTGGAGGCGCGCCATTTGTGTTTAGTTGAAATTTAGAGAAAGAAATAAAAGAGCCACGAGTCTCCAAACCGCCTACCTGAGTCACTTCCTTCTTCCCCTTACGAACTTTGTTACAGTCTGATATCCTACAATGAATATGCCTGTAATGGCCTGGCAGCTCTCATCAGGCTCGAATAATGACTGAAGTGTCTCTCGTTTCTTCTTTTGTGCTTTTCTTTCTCTAATGTCCTAAAGAGATCAGTGGTCCTCTCCAGGCCCAAATATACCAGGCAGATCAAGGACAAAAACATCTGTACTAATGGAGGAGGTAATTGGCCCTCAGGCACACAACAGATGAGGAAACTCAACGATGTTCAGTGGCTCTTTGAATTAAGCTTTATCAACTGAACATGTAAATTCAGCTAAACCATAATAGATTTATTAAGCACATAAAGACCACCGACAAAGCCATTATTGATATTTGTAGAGCTGTGCTTTTAAATTCATACGATGTAGCAAAAAGCACATGACCGGTTTAGCGAGTACTTTGTGTTCCCATACAGTTGGATTTGATGTTTTGCTCTTATGTAAATCATTGAGTAAAAGTTAAGATCGTTTATATCAAAGAATCTGAATGAGAACATTTTCACTGGTGATCTTTTGGACCCCAGCATATACTGCATGGATACTGCACATGCATCACAATTGATTATGGTTTTGCTGAAGAGATATTACTGTATGTAGGAATTATGGGAGACTGATCTGCTTATAAAAGTTGTGACATCGCAGTGCTGAAAATCATATTAAGTGATATGACAGGTATGACGGATTCTGTCAGCCTGGAAGATGATTGAACTGTCAGTGTCACTCACTGATTTACTTACAATCCTTAGGCTTTCTCACTATTTCTCTTACTCTGTTGTCTCTCTCTCTCACTCCATTTCTCTTTTCATTTTTTTTTACTCTGTCTTTACAGAATGTAAGTTGGGTTCAAAAGACAAGCATTGGCAGTGAAATAATCTATTTTTGCTGAATAAATGTGCTCTATTCAGCGGTGAAAACACAGAAGCACAAATGCTAACAGGAAGTTTGTGGTAAGAAGGACACTCACAAATGTATTTCTAAATATGGAGCCTTCAGTGTCTTCATCTCTATTGAGTATTGTGCTCAGAGGAGTGCAATACCCTCAAAGTGGGTAAAAAGAAAACTGAAGGACACTATGCAAGAGTTTGGTTATGGGCCTATTTTCGGCAGATATGTCATACTGTATTTTTACAGTCACATCTTTATTATTATTATCATTATTTGCATCCAGTTAAAAATCAGTTCAACTTTAAAAGCAATAATGAGTTCTCTCTGTACAGGTTTTGTGGATAAAAATGCAAAACACAGGGCGTATAAAAATGTAGAGACCTGTTTTTTAAAAGTTGTACTTTTTAATTTGAATGCATTTTTAGAATGTCTTGTGCAAGATGCTACAGAAGATCCAAGATGCAAGCACAATGGTCAAACAAGTCCGTCTAGTGCATTTTTTGGTGTTGTGTGAGTTGGCATTCTTAAAATGCTATGCTCAAGTTCTTGAGTCTTTGCTTTTTCCCCCCATTCCACTGCTATTGTCTCATGTTTTTGCATTTGTGTTAATGGTCCTTTACAGGGTGAACAAAATAATGTTGACTTTCTCTTTCAGTCTTTCCATCATTAGGACAATGTCTTAACGTTTATACTTAAATTCCATTTGACAGGTGTCCAGTGACAATTCATTGATGTAGTTCTGATGTGAAGGAGTCCATTTAAAGTTATATTCTTTGTTTTCTCTTCAGCAGTTTGTGACAGAATACACAGTAGCCATGTAGGCAGTGTGCAATTCAGAGTACCCAGACATAAAACCATTTGAGTAAATGTTACAGAAACGTCAATCCCGATGCACTGTACATGTGATACATCGATCAGTCAGTCAGTCGTGTGGCCACTGGCTGAAGACTGAATCACGACATTGCCTAATGAATCACTCTGTTCAAACAGCACATACAGTGAAAGAGCTGTTTAAATGAATCAGCTCAGTTGAGTCAGGTCATTAAGTAAATCAGCCTGAGTCTCTTTTGATGTCTCAGTTCACAGAGTTCAGAAAAATCATGATTTCATCCTGGTTAGTTCTAGTTAGGTCCTTTTTGTATTCTTTTATCAGCAAGCAACTTTAGAGCCTTGTGTTTTATTGTTATTGTTATTTAATTTATTTTACTTCCCTGAAATAAGCCATCTGCAATTAAATCAAGAAATAATTATCAAGTGAACAAGGAATATTTTGAACTGTTTGTTTATATTAGATGAATGAAATCTTGTTTAAAAGCCCTGTTTGTTTATTTGAGTGCAGTTGTACCCACTAGTATTTGGACTTGGGCACATCCAAATAGTGAAAGTGAAAGTGAAGTGGCATGTGGCCAAGTATGGTGTCTCATACTCGGATTTTGTGCTCTGCATTTAACCCATCCAAGTGCACACACACAGTAGTGAACACACACACACAGTAGTGAACACACACACACCGTGAACACAAACCTGGAGCAGTGGGCAGCCAATGCTGCGGTGCCTGGGGAACAGTTGGGGTTTCAGTACCTTGCTCAAGGGTCTCACCTCTGTCGTGGTATTGAAGTTGGAGAGAGCGCTGGTTATTCACTCCCCCCATCGACAATTCCTGCCGGACCTGAGACTCGAACCCGCGACCTTCATGTTACAAGTCCAATTCTCTATCCATTAGGCCACAACTGCCCATTAATAGAGTAAAGGAGGTAAAAGAAGCAGATTTTAGGAAAAATAAAAGACAAAGGAAAAGAGAGCGAAAAATATATTTAGAAGCCGCTCTGAATGGTGAGTGCTGGCATGTTTTGGAATGTGATTTATTGTCTGAAAGATAATATAATTCGCCAATGTTCAACGCTCACTCAAGGCAATAATACCCAGCATCCCAGAGGGGGCTGGTCCTGGCCACACACACACACATAAACACACACACTCTGATGTCCAGGTGGCTCAGGCTTGATTACTGGATAATTTATGGTCAGGCCCCTGTCAGCCCCTGGCTCCCAGCACACAACCAGTACTGACACTTGTATGGAATAAAACCCTTACAGCTGCCTTAGTCTATTATTCTCTCTCTCCTACTCTCTCTCTCTGTCTCTCTCTCTCACTCAGTGAGTTTAACTGAGTTTAACTGAGCAGAATTAGTGCAAAAGCAGGAAAGTCGAGGCCTTGGAGCCACACATCAACTCCAATTAAACTTCAGAACAACACGGGGAAAGTGAGAGAGAGACAGCGCTGCAGTTAAAACCTAGTTTACAGCATATGTACAACATGAAGTTCACAGTTATTTAAGACACTTCCATGTGGGCTGTGAAAGTGCATAGATTTATTTTTAGTGAATACGTGCCAGACCCTTTCAGAGTGAATTGGTTTTATGAGCATATAAGAAGATTGTCCTTTAATAACCCCTTTCTAAAACTTTTTCTATTCTCTTTCTGTCCAACGTTTTTCCTCTTTTATCCTCCATTCGTCTGTATATCTGCCGCAGTGCGCTAACCAATCCTGTTAGTCAGGTCACATTGGCATAAAGCGATTTGAAATGTTTCATATTCGAATGCATTGACTGAGCCATAGAGTTCTGAGTTCTTCCAGTAGACAGTCTTCATCTCATCGATATTGATGTGAACAAGATTTCCCTGAGCGCCGAGGTCCCCACTCGCACATTTTTACATTAAAGAATATTTACAGTTTTTTCAGACTTTAAATGCATCTCTCTCTTTCTCAAATACCTCACGCCCAGATGAAATAGCATATTGAATCAGATTTCTGGCTATGGATCCCGGCATTTGATGGCTTCACTGCTCTGAATGTGTCACTGACACCTGACAATGTACCCAGACTAACTTAATTAGTGCTCTTTCTCTGCTTCTGTGTAACTTTATCATGGCACAAAGCATGTAAATTACATTCTAGGACTATTTTAGAGACTCTAGTTACTGCGCTAATGACATAACCGCCAATAAGAAAAGCAGCTTTAGAAAGCAGGTGATTCAAATGATCTGGACATTTCACAAGATTAGAAGAAAGGTAATAGTGGTGAGAGGGTTATTTAGAAGAAAAGTGGAGCCAAGTAACAGCCATGAGCACCTTTTATCTTCAGTTCAATAACTTAGTGCGTCTTTGGCCAAAGACTGAAACGCGCTGCAGAAAGTAAGAAGAAAAGAGACGAAAAAAGCTCCTGTAAGGGGCAGCTCGACTATGACTTAGTAGACATGTCTTGACCTTGACCGTGTGGACAAAACTCGAGCTGAGTGCTGCTAATGAAGTGTCAGGACTCATAAGACCTTATGAAAAACTAGGCCATGGTGTGAGAAAGGGGGGAAACAGGAACATTCTCGTTTCATGCGCTCTTCAAGGTGAATCGCTGTACTCTCGTTGTGTGGATGGTTTTAAAACGTTTTGTGTGACCTCTCCCTCTCCTGTCTCATTCTCTTTTTCTCATTATCGGTCTTTAACGCACATACATATCCAAGGGCACATGCAGTACACTGTTAAAAAAAAGTAATTTTAATGAAGAATAGAACATATCATATACTGTACCTTTTGTCACATATAGTGCAAATTAAATACATGTAGTTTTACTGAAAATTACTCTGGAAAATATTGTTTGTAAAGGTAAAAATAATTACTTGATGCCAGATGTTTGTTTGTTTTTTTTTAAATAAGAAAACATAGAAAACATGTTTTTTTTCCTTAGTATATGGGTTTAATAAAAAATGCCAATGCTTCATTTTACTGCTTATATCCTTTTATCCTTTATTTTTTATTTAGTTATAGGCATTGGAATTAAAAGTTACAGTAAATACATTCTTAATGTTACAGAAAATTTCAAATAAATGCAGTTATTTTGAACAACATTTCCACAAAAAGCTTAATCAGCACAACTGTTTTCAGCATTGATAACTATAAGAAATGTTTCTTGAGAACCAAATCAGCATAATAGCATGATTTCTGAAGGATCACGCGAAACTGAAAACTTAAATAATCGCTGCTGAAAATTCAGCTCAGACTTCACGGGAAAACATTTTAATAAGTTTGAATATATATTTAAATAGAAAA